GGACAATTTTCACGGGAGAAAAAAAGAACAATAAAAGGTTTTCGTTAAAGCAAGAATAATCTGGAAGCAAAATAGGAGTTGGGGAAAATAGGTAATTCTAGGGGACATGGAAATTGGTTAAGGAATAAACGCTGTCAAAAAAGGATTATAATAAGGACCAAAAAAAGTGTGAAAAGAAAATCCAGAAAACAGAGATGTACAGAGAGAATAAAAAAGCCTTAGTGTTGATATTACATATAAAGGATGTGGAAGATTGTAATAGGAAAAAAAGAATCTCTAGGCTTCAAGAGTCAAGAACATTGATTATTAGTGATTTATTAAATGTTTAGAATTATAAATATAGACACTGGTCAGGCTACCCTTAAGTGCGGGATGCATTTCTAAGCCCTGCATTTTAATAGGAACAATACTGAATTCAAATATTTCAGAATCAGAGGGAAATGGAAAGAATTCTGCATTCATTGCTGTTATGGGCTAAATCGTGTTCCCTCAAATTCTCATGTTGAAGCCTTAATCCCCTGTACTTCAGAATGTGACTGTAATTGGAGACTGGCTCTTAAGGAAGGTAATTAAGTTAAAATAAGGTCATCAGGATAGGCTTTAATCCAGTGTGACTGCTGTCCTTACAAGAAGAGGAAATCTGGACACACAGAGAAGCCAAAGAAGGGCACACACAAGAAAGACCATGTGAGGACACAGAGAAAAGGCAGCTATCTGCAAGCCAATGAGAAGAAACCAATAATGCTGACAACTTGGTCTTTTTTCTAGATTCTAGAACTGTCAGAAAATACATTTCTGTTCTTTAAACCACCCATCTGTGGTATTTTGTTATCCTAGCCCGAGCAAACTAATTCAGTGGGGTATCAGATAATATTGATGTAAAAACCATCATAGACATTAACCAGCCTGAGCTTAAATCACCGGCTCTTGCCTAATTTCTGCCAAGTTTTTATATGTAATATAAAATTGGGCTATAAAGAGGATATATACTACTACAACCATGTCTGCGAGAAGAAAAACTAAGCTGTAAAGACAATGGGATATAGTACGCAGTTGGGTACTACCTGCTTTAAGTCAGATCGAAGCAGAGCATAAAGATGAAGCTTGTGTATTTCCTAGAACAAAAAAGAACTCTGCCATTAGAGTAACTTTAATTTTTTCAAAAATAAGCTTGATCACTGGATTAACCATTTCCACTATAATAATAAAGCAATTAAAAGTTAATCTAGTGAAGAAAGGAAAACAGGCACAGTTGTGTCATCAAAAATTCTAGTATTCAAAAGTCCAATACAACCACACAAAATCTGAGAGCCTAAATGTTCAGTGACTGGAAACTCACTACTTTACAATGCATAAAGTAGAGACTAATTGAGAGTGATACAAAGCTGCTTTTCCTATTGAACATAAAACACGCACCCTAGTGTCTACAACTATTTGAACTAGAAAAATACATGTTCATCAGAGCAAATATTATTATTCTATCACCTAATGATATTAAAACACAAGAAAATTTATCTAAAGTCTTCCCTTGCCCAAGCTAAATTTCTTTAAATTTTTTTCAAACTTCCCCCAAGACTTTTCCTACTTCATCAATGAAAGTTTAACATCCATAAATTAATAGTTTCTTATTGTCATCTTGCTACATGGTAGGACTTTTATTGTGCCTACCAATAAACACTATCTAAATATGTCCTGTTATTAACTAGAACTGAGATTTTTGTGTCTACTATAAATCACTTATCTTTTTCACTTGAACTGCTTTTAAATCATGGACCTCCCATCCAGCATTTTAATGGTTTTTAAAAACTATGTTATACTTAGCTCTACTAAATTTAATCCAACAGTGTCAACAATTGTATTAAGATTCAAAATATCTTGATAAAGTTGACTGAAGAATCTCAATTATCATCTCTCTGTCCTAACTTTATGTCATCAACATATATGATTTTTATACTATTTTCATTTCAATCAATAATTAAATATTGGACAGGATGTGAGCAAACAGTTTCCCAAGCCAAAACTGTCTAGACTTATATTTATTAATTTATTACATTAATCAACTATGCATGAAATAATCATAGTCCAGCTGATAATTTTGCACAAAAATTATAAAAATATTAGGCTACAATGTAACATTATGACATTATAACAAGCCTTTTTTATGCCTTAGATGATAAATAATTTGAAAAAAGAATTTTTATTTGCATTTTATTCATCTGTGTTCTTACCATTGCCTCATAACCCATTCAGTACTTTCTCCCCCAAATTAATGTACAAATAAGCAAAAACATTAAAAGATTTATACAAAAACAAAAATGTTCTTCAGAGAATTTCTTCTCAAAATTTTTTCTTGTATAGCCCTATTATGTAACTTATAACCACATATATTTATGGAATTGAAATTGAACTAATTTATTCTTAATAAACAATTTTCTAATATAAAACATACACAGATACAAATCACAAACATGAAATTTCCTAAAGGTCCAGGGAGGGAAAAAGATTTATGTTGTATGAGAATTTTGTACTACATAGCTCCACAAACTTTGGGAATGTAATATGCACCCAGCTCTACATTAGATAATCCCTGTAATTTGCTGCATAAAAATACTTTGCCAAGTAGATGTACACAGATGTTTTGAAGAGCACATTTTCTATATTTCTTAAACATCTCTTTATGTTCAAGTAATATATATACATATTTATTGTTTCACTTTACTCACTCTTCGGAAAAAACCTACCGATGGAAACTATCCACCATTTTTAAATGGACACGGAGATCTTTTTTTGTTAGGTGATCTAACATTCTTGCATCTACCAAGCATTCCATAAAATAACTTCTGTACTGAGGTAACCCCAGGCTGGGAAGCCATTCGTTTCCAATCCACTCGTGGTTCATATCTCCATATGCCAGGGTCTGTAGAAAAACCGGACACTAGAACTGTTTTATAGCAGTCAAGTTTTTTAGCCAATATAATGAGATGGTAATTGGAGGATAGTGCCTATTGTTACAACTGGTATTTAATTGCTATGATACATGGGAACAAAGCAGAAATCATATTCAGCCTCTAAGTATTTGATTTACTTTGGAACAGAATGGAACTCTGGGTACACGTATCATGGTACTTGCATTATTTTCCAAAGGAGTCACATTTTATACAAATATGCCTGTTTAAATTAAAAACATTAGAATGAATGGTATAATACAAATGCTGAGCTTAAAGATCTTTTCTTTGTGTCGCTAGATTTATTTAATTTAACTTATTTTTATCTGTCAGCTAATCTCCATCATTTCCTTCTCTTCAATGCTACTATTACATTGCTGTGATGTAATGGCAAATCTTTATGTGAAAATAGAAACCTCAGTAAATGAACAGAGAAAGGCTAGAGAGACAGAATGTGAAGCTTTCTGTGGGCATTGTTGTTACCTAGTGAAGTATGCAGTCACTAGTCCATAAAAACCACTGGAATCGAGCTTATTTTTAGGAATCAATCAATATAGACTCCGTACTTAAAGAAGTGGAGCATAATCAAAAAGACATAATCTAATTCTTTAATATAACAATATCAACTGATCTTACCAAACATTAGTCATAAAAGCCAAAATGAAAACCAAAATCAACCATCAACTCTAAGGCATTTTTTTAAAAGGACTATTACTCTCTATTGATAATGTTTTCTATTTTGTTCCTTATCAAACAACAAATTCACACTTATAACATGTATTTCTAATGGAAAATCGAGGTGTTCTCTTTATTTTCTGTGTTCTTAAAAAAGATAAAATTCTTATAAAAAATGAAAATCTAACGCAACCCTAATTGACTAAATGTTTAAATGTAGGTCCTAGTAATAACTATCAAAATTTTTCTCTGGTCAAAGTTTGAATCACATTACCTATAACACACATTCATTCCTTGATTATACAACATGTGGAAATGCTGAAAAATGCACAGCTTCCTTGCAAACATAAATGTTCAAAGTACAGACGCTTGGTTCAGACTGCCATCTCAGTAAACAGGAGAGACTTCTGATTTGTAGTCACAAGGCTAACCCATGTCCCTCCAATCTCATTTCTCACATACTTTCCATTATACTTTAAAGCATCTGCAATTCCAAATAAGTTTTTTAAAATATCCCCTCCCCCTTACTTATATCCAACATGAGTGATTCCTCATTGAACATATTTTGGGGTGATTTCCAAGAAATTTAAGTTACAGTTCATTCTTTTAAAGGAGAAAGAAAATTTTCCTTTCAAAAGAGGCCAGGTATGAAATAAAAATCTTTGGTGACTTTAAAAGACCTATGTAGTATTAAACACAAGAAATTCCAATAAACAATTAGCCTAATCTTATATATATTTTTATAATATTATAACATATAATTTTCTTACTTTATATCCTTATAGCCTACTAAATGATATTGTTGTAAAGCATATGAATTTCCTACCTGAGCCCAGCTTCCTTCCTCAGATTCTTTCTGTGTTAGCAGCAGGAAATGATTAATAAAGCAGATAAACACAAATTAATCTCAAATTAATGTAGTAAATTTTTTCCACTAGAAGCAAAATTGTTTGTTATTAAAAATGTTAATTAAGACACAGGCAGATAAACACACAGCTCCTTATTCAGATCCACAGTAATCAGTTCAGCAGTTCAAGGGCAACTACCAAGGCATCTACGTAGTTTCTAGTCAGTTCTAATTAAACACATACACATATGACATACGGAATTTTCATGATACATTTGCTCTAGCCATTCTAAACCTTCTTCAATTCTTAAAGGTGGAATTTTCCAAATGTAATGAGTAATAATAAAAATTTCTGATTATACAAACATACAAACATACAATACACAAATGTGTATACATACATACATACATGTGATGGAGAAATCTTACATAAATTAATGAAGTGGACAAAGTAACTTCTCCTTCTAGCAAAGATTTATGGCAAATAGATTTCAACAACAACCAACAGCAAACAAAACTAAACAAGGCAAAGACCATGCACAACAGACTAAACTAGAAATGCAATTAGCACATGACACTGGCATTTTTATTCATCAAGAGCTAGGCAATCGATTTTTCAAATAGGGGTACAACTGAAAGGAGATTAAAAGAAGTTGCTAAGAATAAAATGCATGTCATGCCCAACTTTGTTACTTTAAATGAAAAATGACTATATACAATATTATACTTTCAAGAACTGACAATTACAATCAGAGTCACCACGAATTTCTTTAAGCCTCTGCTTTGAATGTAAATGAACAGAACACTTTGCATGGGGGTAGGAGGAGGAAGCTCTGTATCTGAGATGATAAAGTACAAGAAAATAAATGATTATATTTAAAATAAGTATTCAATCTAAACTTTCTATTATAAGTTTAACTGGGCTTGGTAACATGCATTAACTGTGAATATGTCCAATATAAAGTGATATTTGTTATCAAAAATTTCCAATGTTGCAAAATGGGTAAGTGTCATTAAATTCTTATTATTTGTATATTACAAATTCTTATATTAACCATATCATGACAATCTAGTACTGCTTCATTTAAAAATGTCTCAGTGCAGTGAAATAAAACCATAATGAAAAGTATTAGTTATCACTGCATATCACTATGTAAACATAACTCCATTACTCTGATCTATCGTCAACAAAATAGCTTCCTTCATCCAAAGAGCAGCAAAATAACTTTTCTTCATGTTCAACAAAGCCATAAAGACTAACCGTTTTTGCTGGAGCTGCAAGATTTTCCATCTCTTCATGGGTCACCCAAACGTTGCCTGAAGGCTAGTGAGGAGGCCCACAGGGGAGCAGTGGGATCCGTGGGACGGAAGCAGTGGTAAAGAAGAAAGGCAGCACCACTGTGAGTTAGCACCACAGTAACACGACAGCTCTGGCTTCTACAGCATGCATGAGCGATAGCATTGCTGGTGTACTCACAGCTCCCTTTTCCTTCTACTTAAAAAGATTAAATAGAAAGAGGCATGCTGTGACACTCGTGGGACAGATTTTAAATGATACTTCTGTACTGCAATTATTAATCAGGAAAAAGGCTTAATCAAAATTTGCATTTCAAAGGTAAGAGGCTATTGGATCCATCTTTTTGAACCATGGAAAACAGAATAAATTTCATCTGTAGAAGAATGTATTTTTTTCTTCAGTAAACAAAGGTACATGTATTTTGTTGTGTTATTACCAATATGTTGTTCACAAAGTTTTGATTCTTCAGTGTCCTTAGAAAGAAAAAAATGCTTGTCAATACCCAAAGCGGAAAGCACTATTATAACCTGTCTGGAAACCAACATCAGCTTTTTGCACATGACCTCTTCCTTTTACAGTTCAGTAAATGTTGTTTTCCTATATTCTTATAGAGAAAAAAAAAGTGAAATGCTATTTTTGATTTCATAAAAGGTATTTTCCACTAAATATTGTCAGAAGTCACAAAACCTGATTTTTCATCAGCAACCTACACCATTACAGAGAAGAACATGATGTAAAAGGAGATTTTCCCTATAGCAGGCACTATTTTATTATAAAGTGTCATTTGCTTATTAAATAAAACGACCCATGATATTTGTTTTATACACTGAATTACATACAATTTCTAAACCAAAGTCCACTTAGTAACATACAGATCACTGGGAACCACTTTCCATGAAATTCCACCATTTCACTGGGAAATCTTTATGAACATTACAACGTTGTCCAAGAACATCGATCTACAGTTACGGTGGAATTTGTATCTTACGTATTGCTTGCTACTTGCTTTGTAAGGGGTCTAGTTTTAAAGAGTTGGAATAGTAAAGTTGATACCCTGACATAAGTCATCCCCATAATTCTCTCTGGTCTTTTCTATTAACACATAGTAAGTACCATGTTGGCTTATCTTCTATTATAAATAATGCAATTTAATATAATTTAAAAAATAACTACATAGAAACTAAATCGACTATAGTTTAATATGAGATAAATCTCATGTATAAGAGAATTATTCATATACACATATATTTGAGTAACAAGACGGAGTTGAGTGGTAAATATTCATAATTATAAATAAATCATATGGGTATACAAACCCCAAATGATAAGCATCATACATTATGTATAGAATTCTCCTACTGTTTTGGAATTTTGAGGATATCTGAATTTTTCCTTTAAGATAAAACTGTGCACACCTGTAAAATAGATTCAGAATACAGCAATCATCCATGTCATTAAAAGTCTCTCTCTTCTGTTCTCAGATTCTGGAAATGGTGCTCATTATGAACAGAAAGTTGCATATGAATATGTGAATCATTAAATCATTTGGCAGAAATTGCTTTTATTGGCTTTGTGAGGAGTGCACTATGCTAAAGAGAACATCCCACTCATCTCTCATATCCCACCATTTACACTGTGATGACAGTGCTTTGCCTGAGTAGCTGTAGTTTGTTCCAAGTGAGCTTCAGTGGCTATTACCTGAGAGGAAATTCATTTAAGCCAGACTTGTTTTCTATAACGATTTCTCTAGATTCTACCTTGATTGTGAATCCAAATAATGAAGATTTCCTTTCTTCTATAAGTAAATTGACCAGTATTACCTCATACTGGAATACATATATGTATATATAATCTCTTTCATAGGTTAAAGTCTGTATTTGCTCGTCTATCACCAAACTCTGGGGTAAGCAGAATGCTGGAAGCTAAGATTTTATCTATATCTTTACATGCAAAATGAGTATACATCCAGGGCAATTTTCTAAAGCATGGTTGGCAAATTTTCCAAAGATGTAGGTTAGTTGTTCATTTTCACTCTGCAGTTATACTTGTGAAAAGAACTGCCTGTTGTAGAACCTTGTAAAATAATCCACAGAATGACTTCCACACAACCCAATCAATTCAGCATGGGCTGAGGTTTTGACAAATTCGTTTTATAAGCAAGCCCATGTGTAGTAAGTCAATTATTCAGAATTCTTTCTTTTCACTACTAGTTTAAGTGACGGAACTTCCTGGGGAAGTCATTAAAGGGGTGATTTAGAGCATTTCAGCAAAGAGTGCATCTTAGAGAATAGCTGGAGTGGGATGCTGTGAGCAACCAAGGACACCGGTGCCTTGGGTCTGAGAATGAAGTGCAAAAAACAGCTTTGAAAAGCATAAAAGACAAGAATCATATGTGGTTGTGGTTTTCTAAGAGCCACTTGAAAATCATTTACTCACTGCCCTTGGCAGTCTATGCTGCAACCCCTGGTAGACATTTGTGTGTGTGTGTGTGTGTGTGTCAAATACCATCTGAGTCTAGCAGATGATTTCTAAAATTTTAACTATCTGGAAATTTACCAAATTACAATCAAGAGGTTTGAGTTCTAGCAACACCACTTCTCAGTAACTACCCTAGGACATTTCCTAAACCTTTCTACATTTTAGATTCTACATCTGTTAAGTAGGCTAAGACTATATACTCCTACTAAGAACAATACTGATAATATACAATTATGATGTGATATATTCTGATACGGGACTGGGACTAGGATGAGGTAGGTGAGGTGTTAAGGGGGCTAAATTTAAGGAAGCACTCACTTTCAGGACCATGCAAGTGCAAGATTAGTACTAACAGTGAATGCCTCCTTAAATTCTGTATTTGAGGGGCCCTGCTAGCCTCACCTTAGTCTCGATGAAGTAGAATATTCAGATAGTATTATCAAATGAAATCTAGAAGGAAAATTCCTAAAGGATGCCAAGAATTAAAGCACTTACCTAATTAAATCATTTTGGAGAGAGTTACGATATAAAAATAAATATTAAAAGAGTTTAAGGGATAACTTCATGAAAATTTATTGGGGGAAAATAATTAACTCTCTTGCTGTCAGAAATACAAAATAAGTAAAGCAGCTAGACCTCAGAATAATCCTAAACTTCACCTAGCTGGAAGTAACTTCTGTTACTACATAGATCATTCTGAAGTATTTTTTACTTTATAATTGAGTTATAAAGTAAATTAATTTGAAATTTAGTTTTCATATTCAAAATAACCTAGACCCCACATTTCTCCCTTATCTGAATTTATGTATCTCAGCATAATAAGAGGAAAATTATTTCTCATTGTAATAAGGCTAGTTTTACACAATTATATTTCACCTTATTTACATTAAAGGTTGAGGCTTAGGAGGCTAGTAATAATGAAAAAGGGAACCAGAGCAGATTGGAAGAATGCTGGAAAAAAGAATGAAAACTCGCAGAGTGTAGGCAGCAGCAGAGTGCACTTGTTAGGAGCATAGACTATGGGGCAAAACCACCTGGGGCTGTGGCATTAGAAAAATCAATTGACCTCTCTGTTTATCAGTTTTTCTCATCTGTAAAACAGATATCATAAAGGTACCCATCTTATAGTGTTGTCATGAGTTTAAATGAGTTATTGCATGTAAAGCACTCAGAACAGGTTCTGACACTTAGTATTCCACTGATGTTGGCTGTTACCATAATTTCATTAGAAATTTTGTTAAGCAATCTCTACCCAAGTAAATCTAGTCTAATAAATGTTCTCTATTTCCCCTGTACATAGTGCTCACACTTACCTTATGCCTTACAAGTCTGCTCAAATTTGCTGAATTATATTTCCCAAAGATCATTTATATTTGTTCCCATTTATTTTCACTGTACTTTCTAAAATTAGGCTATTTAAATAAATATTACATAAAACCAAAAATAAAAGAAATTTGGCTCATGTGTGAACACTAGGTTGAATTATTTGGAAGACGAGATCAAGGAAAATCTTCAACCACATTATCAGTGAGACACAACTTTGTCAAAGTTTGGGGAGGAAATTTTGAATACCGAAGAGGATTCCGCACTCACACAGCTTTCTGAGGATCTTCAAGTTATCTCTTTAAAAAGAAACTCAAACTAAAAAAGTTGAAGATGTTTAATGGATGAAGTTATCAAATAAAGATAATATGAAACTCCAGGCACTGGAGCTGTACTCAAAGAAAAGCCCCAGGTGTTTTATCTAAATTTGTAAGTGCCTGAACAGTTATGTATTTTTCACTTAAAATATTTAAAGAATTGACTTATTACTTATGACACCCCTCTTTAACTAAATCTTTCAATTACCGGAGAGCGCCATCTCTATTCTGTTATGTAAGACGCCCTCTACAGTAGCAGTAGTTTAGGAATAAGAAACAGAAAGCTGCAAGACTAGAGCCGGCTCAAAGAAATAATAAATGTAAACATTAGATTTTCCTTTTGGTGGTTTAGCGCATTTCATCTAGACAGAACAGGAGGCAGAATCAGAGTTCTGTTTAGTTAAAACAAAAAAAAAGTCTAAGTATCTTGTTTTTTTCTTCTTAGAACTTGAGTGAATGAACAAGATATACTTGGTTTAGGAATTCAAACTCAAACCTAAACACACAAGACAATTCTGTATAATTGGAACTATCTGCAGTGTTCTAGGAGACACGATAACATTTCTTTAAAAAAGAAAAAGCCCATTTTGCATTTGCAAAGTGTGAATCCTAATATATAATTTTAGGTGATGACTTTAAAATGTTTTAATCTTCACTTTATGTAGCGGATTAATTACTAGAAATTCATAGGTAACCTTTTTGCAAAGCAAATCAGATTTGAAGTATATTAAAAATAAGTAAATACTTCCAATCTTGATGGAGTAAAAGAAGTAAAAAGTACTCAGTAGATAATTTTTAAAGCAAATAGAGACAACTTATCTCTTATGTAACTTGCACCAATATTTGGCAAAGGGCATATGTCCTCTGTGAACAAAGAGCTTTTACACGTTAGTAAAAAGATGATCATTCTTATAATGCTATAGAAAAATGGAAAAAGTTACGAATAGGTAATTCTTTTAAATGCTAAAATAAATAAGCATATGAAAAAAAATTTAAATTTACTACTAACTTTTAAAATGTAAATTTAAGCAATGGAATAATTAACACTGACCAAGGAAAGAAAAAAGACTACACAATACAATTTGGCAAATAAGGTTTAAAAGTACTAAGACTATAAATGCCCTATATACAAATATTGCATGGAAGTAACCACACTTAATGCAATAACATGACTACATGCAAATCCACTATGGTATTATAAATACAATGAAAATTATGAAATAAGTAAAATGTCCAATGTTGGGGACTTGATTAAATAAATTATGGTATTTTCATTAAAGAGGTATGCAGTGATAAAAATATCAATTGCACATTTAATAAAATGAGGAAAGTGTTCATGCTATATTACTAAGTTTTAAAAGTACAAAATAAAATATTATGTGAAAATAATTCATCTTTATAAAATGAGAAAGAAAATCGTATGGAAAGGTCTCTATCAAAAAGTTAATAGTGAAAATTTTTATAATTTTGAAAATTAATTAACAATATATTCCCTGTCTTTCAAATGTTAATTCCTCTTTGAAGACTTATTCAACCAGAACTGATTTCTGCTTCCTTGGAATTCCACCACACTCTGCTTCTATCTCACATTTAGGAATTAAACTACGTTTTCTTCTATTAAACCTACAGGTGAACACGTCTTCCTTTTCTTAGTACAGGTGCCCTCTCTGAAGTCAGGGCCATACATATTTCACATCCTCTGTACTGGTGGGTAGCATGACTTGTGCAGTCATGATTTTAAGATGCACATTTACTATCTACAATTTGCCAGGCACTGAGTTAAGGACTGGAGACTACGGAAAACCTGATAATATACCTGCCTGGCTTAGTGTGGGATGAATCAAGAAGAGACAATGATAAAATAAGTTTTATAAGTATACAGAGTGGTAACTTGGAAAGGGAAGCCAACCCAGACTTTGGGGCTTCATGAAAACTTTTTAGAGGAAGGACATTCAGGAATCACTAGATAAAGGATGGGTTGGGGAAGGATGGTGGTCCTGGTGTGAAGAGAATGTTCCAAGCAAAGGGAAGAGCAATTGAAAAAGCTATTAATCAACCAAAAATCATAGAAATCTAGAAAACTTAAAGTAGTTCTGCAATGTTGGGATCCTGACCAGAAGGAGTAAAACCTTTGAGGTGAACTGAGACTAGATCAGGAAGAAGTTCATAAGCTCTCCTCACATTTGAGTGTTCTTCGAACAACTGAGTGCACTCTTACCTTTAATAGTTTCTGATTTAAGTTCCTTCAGTTTGCTTAGACATTTTTAGAAAAAATAGTGTTAATTATTCTATTTTCCTTTAAGAAATAATAGGTTAGGGTACTAAGTAGAAACAATAAATTGTACTCTATTTTTCATCTTAAAGTTGAGACATCTATTGCTCTTACTTTTCCAAGATTAGGAATTTTAAATATTTTTGTCCAAATTTGCTCTTGGGAGGAAAGTGCTGACATAAACTAGTCATGACACTCTTAGTTGGGAGTTATGCAGGAAATCCATCATCACATCTTAATTCAGATTACATAAAGTATTTTAATGACTTACTCAGTTTTTATTTTTAACATATTCTGAATTGTTTTTTAACATTAGTAATATTTTAGAACAATATACATTTATATACATTTAAAAATGTTACACAAGTTATATATAAGAATTTGTTAAAGTATATATGTTTTCCTACATGTTACTTAGGAAGAAGTTAAAATGGAATTTCACAAGAAATATAAAAGCTTTATAAATTTGGCCTTGTATTTCTAGCATCAGAATCTAGTATACTGGTAAGGAATTTAAGGATATATGCAATAAAAATGAAGAAAATTCTCTAATTTATGTTCCATGTTTAAGACCATGTATAAAAAGCTATACCCAAACTAGCTTTGTGCCTGAAAACTACAATAAATACTTTTCTTTAATCTACTATTTAAATTTACCTCATTCTTCAATATTTTATCATTATATATAAGACACAGGAACAGAAAAATCCAGCTAACATTAGAAATCATATCCTTTATCAGCAAAAGATGTAATTTGGGAAAGGAGTAAAGAAAGAATTAATATTATTTAGGAGTTTTTCTTAGTGTTTGAATGTGTCATCTGGCATGCCTTTTTAGACATTTTGTTCTTTCCTAATATTAAGAAAAGGACAAAATTATGAGAGGAATAGGGATTTATAAAAGGTAAACAGATTTTGAAAGAAGGTATTCCACCTGGTATTTATAAAACATTAAATATCTATGTACTTTCATAATTATGAAAACTGCTTCAGCAGTAGTGAGTTTAGTATTATATCTTTGGCTCCAGCTCATCTCCTGAGATGCTGGATTGCATTAAAAAGAAAAAAAAAAGAGAGAGAGACATCCTAAAAAAGAGTAAACTCATGGTCTTGTTGCTTGGGAGAAAAATCTAAACTTTAGTGACTAGTTCAAAGTCTATCTTGGTTGCAGCTTTCACTTCTGATAGGAGAATTAAAAGTAGCATCAAGGTTAATGAAGAGCAAGTTAAATCTCCTCACAATAATTCAGGCTGACATTGAAATGTGTGCTGCCACAGGTAAGCTCTGTGGACCTGGAGATGCTGCCATTCGCCCAGCACGGGGAGAGGGAAGGAGCACAAACTGACTCACAGTTCTGGATGTTGGAGGAGCCGAAGGACTGGTTAGGGAAACCATCTCCTGGATTGCTAAGCGGAGCTTTAAGCGATGCAGAGGATTGCTGATTCCAATTTCTCTCTGGATCTCGGTGTCTGATAAGGCAGACATGATGGCTCCGCTCTTGACGTTGGCTCGGCAGGCTGCCACGTACCAAGCAGGCATTCCCAACCAGAGCTGTTGCGTAAGGAACAAATCCATACACCAATTATAATAATAGTTGACATTTCAGTGTCTCTTATGTGCTAGGTGTTATTCTAAGTACCTTTCTGTATGAACTCATTTATTACCACAACCCCATGAAAGAGACGCTATTACTGTTTTCCCCAGAAGAGACAGATGCACAGAGACATTAATTCATTTATTCAAAAATGCCAGCTAGGCAGTAATGGAAATAAAGATTGGAAAGCTAGCCTTCAGGGTCTGCAATTTAAAAACTAATTTATATTATTAGGGATAAAAAAAAAATAATAGCTGCACCACACCAATCCCCTCCTGGGTTTGAGGACAGGAAAACCAGCCACAACTGCATTTGGTAAAGACACGATCAGTATTTGTTTAATGTATGACTTCAATTTATAATTATCTTTTAGAATAGTGAGTACAAAGAAATTCTGTCACAGAAAGACTCTGTGATTTTGATCACGGGCTGTAGTGTGGTGAAGCCACACTTTCCATCTACTTGGCTACACTGTGACAGTCAGATGAACTCAATTAGATGCTAAATGTGAAAATAGTTTTTGGAGAATGAAGTGATGGGCTAATGGAAGAGGCTAACATTATAAACATCTGGAAGACTTTAGCTAAAGAGAGTAACAAAATAAATCATGCGTTAGAACTTAGGGACTCCTAATTGAATCACTATGCTTCACACCAGAAACTAACACAACATTGTTAATCAACTAAACTTCAATTAAAAAAAAAAAGAAACTAGGGATTCTGTTTTTCAACCTTGCTTGTGAGGCTCTGGAAAGACAACTGAATTGGTAGAGCAACGAGCACAGCACATGTCTGGCACACATCGAAGCACGGGGTGAACACCGACTCACATGCACCGTGCTGTAGCATCTGAATTACTGACACTTAAATAAGGAACAGTCTTTCCATCCCTCTCCCCTCCCCCACCACCTCATTAGCTTTGAGTAGGAAGCAGGGCACATGCAAGTGAGCAGTTTAGATCTTGGTCTTTAAATGTCCAAAATACTGATTTTTTGGGGCTGTTTTATTTGTTGATATGAATAGATTGAGTAAAAGGAGAGAGAGCATGAGAGTAAGAAAAAGAGAGAGTAAGAGAACAAAGAAAAACTGTCCTAAATCGGCAGTATTCGATGTCAAGGGCTCTGGACCAAGAATCAAAAGCCTGGGCTGTCTTTCCTTCCCAGTCATTGGTGAGTTTTACAAGTCCTCTAAACCTCAGCCTTACTTTCCTCATTTGTAAAGTGAAGGGATTCAGCTTTATTATTTCTATGATAATTGTGTTAAGCCGCTCCCAAGCCAGCTCCCGATGATCTCACTTCCTGATAACCTGTCCTGCATAATCCTCTTCCTTTAAGTCTGGGCTGGACCCAGTGACTAATTTTAACGAAAAGACTATGATAGAAGTGATGAGTATCACTTTCCAGATGACGTTGCAAAACAGACTGCGGCTTCATTCCTGCCAGTCCTCTCCCCCCATGTCTTCTCCGAGCTCTCGCTCCGGGGGAAGCCAGCTGCCACGCTGTGAGCAGTACTGTGAGATGCCACGTGGACAGGAACAGATGTGCCTGGCCAGCAGCTCCAAGGAACTGAGTCAGCCTGGAGCTGGATGTTCCCCAGGCCAAGCCTTGAGATGACTGCCACCCCAGCTGACACGGTGCCTGCAGCCTCGGGGAGACTTCGGACAGGGGTGGTAGCTAAGCCATGTCCAGCTCCTGACTCACAGAAGCCATGAGGAAAATAAAAGCTAAGTTTGGGGATAGTTACTTATTATCATGTAACAAATTAACAGATTTTTTTTTAATTTAAAAAATTCTGCCATATTAAACAGTTGTTTGCTTCTGTAGAGGAAACAAACAAAAAGCCAAATCTTTCAGTCAAGGTGGCCTGGGCAGTGACTGAGAGAAGAAAGAGGAGGGAGGGTACCCAGGTACCGCGTATGACTGAAGAGTTGACAGGATCCCCCACAGGTGAGGCACAAGGAGTTGACCTTGTCGTGACAGATGTGATTAGATATGAGAGAACATGGAACCTAACTTCATAGTTTATAAACTCGAATTGTTCAAAACAACCAAACACCAAAACATACCTTCACCGGACCCTAGTGAGTGTTGCCTTCTCTGTGCTAAGATATTTGCGTTTCCACACAGGTTAACATCACCCAAATGCTCGCCGATACATTGTTACCAAAGTCATCCTTGATTAGACTTTTTAAAAGTTTTTGATGTGGATAAGATGGTGTGTGAAGCATCAGAATTATTCCTACACATCACTCTTAGTGGGCTGTGCCCTCAAGAAGATGCTAAAGGAGGTGAAAGTTAAGAGCTCTCATTCACTGCATCAGCCAGCTCATTCAACTTGTTTATTCCATTTTATAATTTGAGTCACTTTAGGGAGCACATTAGGAGCAATTTCTGTGTGCTCAGGATAGTTTTAATTAGTACAAACTTCATTACCTGTCATTTCCTAGTCCCTGAACTCCAGTAAATCTGTTTTTTTTTTAATATAAAGAATGTGTTCATCACTTGCCAAAATAGTAGCTAACTGTCAAACTGCAGCTTACTTCAGTGGAGTGAAACTGAACAAAGAATTGCTCTCAGTTTTGAGGCAGGCTTTCTTAAGCATTTTATCTTGTAATTGATTTTTAAAATATAGTCATTTTAAAGACAGATATGGAAGAGCAGCTCTGATCACTAATAAGCTAAACATTCCCTGACTGATTCGAGAGAACAAAATAAAGCAAGACACAGGCTTCCTTCACTCAGTCCAGGAAATGATGCAAAGCACATTTTCATATTTATCTGTATAAGAGTATTTCTGAAAACTTAAATGGTATTTAAAATGTCCTTACTGATTACTTTGTTAGCTCTGGATGTGAAATGATAATGAAGGTGGGTGATTTTATAATCCCAAGCCAATTAAAAGAATGTGTTCTAATTGCTTCTGCAGGAAAGAAAAGCTCACACAGTCTGTCCCTTGGTATCTTGGAAGACTTCTTTCCAAGATGCCCCATACCAAAACCCAAAGATGCTCAAGTCCCTTACAGTCGGCCCTCTGTATCTGAAGGTTCCTCATCCTCGGATTCCATCACTGATCTAACTGCAGTTGGTTGAATCTGCAGATGTGGGACCCACAGATATGGAGGGCTGACTGTATTCTTTGCTATGACATCAGCACATCCTAGCAGCTGCCAACAGCCCACATTAGAGAACTGAATGGAAGGAGCGATGAAAACTACTGACACATGGTATGAAGGGGCCCTCTGGGGTCAAATACGTATTTCCTTCACTGTCCCAGTCTGCTCCTGCTGCTCGGGTATTCATTTTTCCAGACCCTTGTGTTGTGTAGGAAACGCTGAACGTAGTTCTTGTTTTATTAAAACATTCGGGTTAGACACAGAGGGAACAAGGAGATGTCTTCTCCTGGATTACTCCAATTGTCTAAACCTAGCTGGCCCCTAGGCTCTAGAGAATTAGGTTCAGGGATTACACTGCAGGCAAAGAAGTGGCTCTCTTGGAATCAGTTTGGCAGTGATATCTTGGATAACATGTTAAATACGGAGATGGCTCTTCTCTGTTAACCTGCTGGTGAGGAAGGACTCTGGACTGATGTACTGGGACAGATGTTTTCTTGCAATGACAGAACTGTCACTCAAAAATTGTTTCTTCTGACTTACTCTAGACATGAAGAAGATGGAATTTACCAAAATTTCTTTATATCCCACTGCCTGTTTCCTTCTACCACAATCACAAGAGAGCATCTGAGTAAAATCACAACAATGCCCACAGGTCCCAAGTTAAAGTAAGTATTCCCTTTATAAGCTATTCCAGACTATTGGAAAACTAGGACATCAAGAACCTGTCTCTACTTGTCTCTAAAAACACTATCAAATTAGCAGGGATTGGTTTAAGAGCCTTTTGGTTTAATTCTCTTACCTCTAGCCATGCGACTACAGTGGGACCATCCCACTGGGCAAAAGGTAATCCCTTCCTCCGAGCTTCTTCTAGAAGTTCATGCCTGAAGTACACAGCAAAGATTATGAGTCAGCTAAAATGGGAAAAGATGGCAGTGATTATTTTTAATGACAGTATTTAAAAAAAGCCCATAATCCTTCGTAAGCTTTTCATGAATTAATACAGAATAACAGAATTCCTTCTCCTTTGAATAATACATGCAAATCATCCACTGATTTTATTAGAAATGAAATAGTGACATCTAAAAATAATTTTCTCCAACACGTATTCACTAAAATTCAAACATTAAATGTTAATGGACTAAGAAGCTGAATTTTATTATCAGCAAATAGCCCTTAAACAAGAAAATGGCCCAAATATGCATATTCAAGCATGCCCTATGGGGTCTGCCTTGCCTGCTTCCCCTTATTATTTCAATAGTAGATAAAGTGCCTGTATACAGAGGCAGAAGATAAAGCTGGTCCTTTTAGCCCCATTCAAGTGATGTGCTTGATTTTCGCATGCTCTCTGGGTCTAGGGGCTATCGTAGGAGTCCATGTTTTGTCTCGACTACATTACTTCTCATTTGAAGAAACCTCCAAGGCAAGTTGACTTCCATCACTACAAAGCAATGTAAGGTGTAAAATTCAGCAGTACACTTAATTTCATTTATAATCACTACTGGTTTTAATGAAACCAAAACATCTCAATGGCAACCAATGGTTGTTTCTGAAAACAAGAAGATGTAAAGAGCCTTGACACATGCATCTTTAATCATTGTCCCTACTGCTGATCCTGACATCCATTTACAAAACCAATATCAGATCACTCGTTATTGAACAGCAAGTTTGTGTTTTCTTTGAATCTCAGATTGATAATATACCTGGCCAAGATTATATTGGAAAATATATTCTCTGTACTTTAGATGCATAGATTTTATAGATCTTACACACACACATTATATATGTATATAATGTATACATATAAATATACATAAAATTGTTTCATTTTGAACATGTGCCTTTCTTGCTTAGGAATCCATCATTAATATTATATATGAACTCCAGATGAAGCATTTGATTACTTCCTATTACTAATTGATTAATTGATTATTGTGGTGAGCTGTAATATGTTAAAAATATATAATAAAAATGCCTGTTAACCCAAAAGCTTTCTCTTTCCGTGTTGGCAATGGTTGTTACCAAAAAAATGCAGTGTGAAAAAGAAACAAGGAGGCAAAACAAAAATTAAAGTTTTCCAGTAGCTGAGAGGCACATAAAGCAACTCCTCTTTCATTTGATGGGATAGCAAAGAAGCATGTGTAACCTGTTCAGCACCTGGGCAAGGGAACAGGAACACTGGTGCCCTGAATCCCAGGTGAAAACTAGAGGGGCTCCCTCACCTGGCTTGCTCTATCCCCACCCATTTGCTCAGGCTTCCCAATGACATTCCTTCACTGAAAACCAGATTTGAATAGCCTAGTCTCTCCATGACAGATATAGTGACAGAAATGGGTTTAAGGGTTAAACAACCAACCATCAGGTACTTATTGAACAAGCACTTATTTTGAGCTGAGACCTGTAGGAAATACAGACATGCACCTAGTTTTCCAGGAGCAACCTGGTTAGATAGAAAAAGCAAACACATAAAACTGTCTAAGAACATAGAACAGTGCACAAATAGATGCTAAAACTCAGTGATGCACATTCTGAGTGTGAGGATTTTGGAGAAGGGGTTAGTAGCCAGGGAAATGATCAGTGAAGGCTTTGTAGCAACAACTGGCCATGAAGGGTGGGTGGGAAGGAAACAGGGACTACGTCCCAAGCAGGATAAGCAGTGAGGGTGGAAGGTCAGGGGCAGGACTGAACACAGAAGACCTGCAGGAAAAGTTAAAGTAGGCCTCCACAGAGCCGAAGAGCATTATTGAGAGTTGTAACATTATAACCATCAGGGAAAGGAGCACTTCCAGTATGTGACAGGTGAGTGCAATTAAAGAGGAAGAAACAAGTATACATTTACAATTGGTTTTTGGTACGTTTAGCAAAAAAAAAAAAGCAAGTCAATAGGCGAAAAACACCTAGGAAGAACACAACATTTTCACAAGCAAATTACATGAGTTGTATGTAAGCCATTTTTAAAAGCTAGAACATTTTAATCGTGAAAATTCTGACCAGTTCCCTATTGAAAAATGCACCACACAAGCTGGAGAGATCCTGTGAAAATTTAAGTCAGAAAATGTGACTTCTCTGCTCACTTCCAGTTACTCCCTGTTTCACTGAGAGCAAAAGCCAAAGTAGCTGTTCCGATCCACCCTACCCTCTTCATCTTTCTGATCCAACTCCCATCTCAAAGAAATAGTGACCTGAACTATTTAGGCAATAACAAATAAAAAACTGACTTGGCACCAACAGGCATTTGGGATACGCTGGTGTCTCCTGTTTGTCCAGTGCATGTGTGGAAATGTATGCATTCTCTCTGTATCCCAGAGTCCACCTTTTCAAAGGTTAAGTGACAGTTCTTCCAGAGTGATGTCATGGTCACTTTCCCCAGGACAAATCTGAGTCTAAAATTACTGTCTTTCTATTTAGGCCTGAAGAAATACTTTTGTCTTTCTTTTTTTCCCAGAAAATCTAATATTTAACCATCCTTTGCCCCCAGATCACTCATATATTACTACACAGGCAACTACACTATACATTACAGGTACCGACTTCTGTTTTAAGTTTTAGACCAGATTCTTAGAGGACATCAGTAGCACTTTCTTCTAGGGGAAGTTTCAGGCACAGAATTGTATCTGCGTGGAAACTCACACACACACAAAGATAAAAGAAAAGTACTAATTATAAGGGAAGGTCACTTTTAATCAGTAAAACCTCTGAGTCACTGAGGATTTTTAGGGAACACATTCTTGTCTGCAATAAAGAATGCCATTAAGATCCTCCCAAAGTCCTCAGACTCGCTTAATAAGGGTGTCAGTGAGCTACTGTAAATGGGATGTGACACATTACGAAGGCCCAAGGCGTGGGGAACACACCGGTGTGTGAGTGGCTTGCACGTTCATGCAGAAACGTGCAGAGGGAAGCTTGCACTTGCTGTGCCTGACCTGAAGACAGGAACAAGGCGCAGGCACCCTAGTTACGCCTGGACCCAAGGATTTCTAGGTCAAGGATCAAGAGTGTCTAAAAAAGGTAAATAAATCAAGAACCTTTGCCAGGGTTGTGGTTTCTAAGTCCTAACCCAATTAATGTAAGCAAGTATCACTTTGCTTAAACGAGTCAATCCAAATGGAAATCCTCCTTTTTAGGTTTCATGACTTTAACTGTTTCAGCTTTGACCTCGTTGGTGGGGAATGCTTATGTTTCTAAGCTACGTTTCTTTGACACTAAATAAAGTCCACATGCCTTCCTGCCTTGTTCCACTCACTTTATCTTGATTTTCAAGACACAACAAAAATAATTCCTCTCTGAAGCCATCCCACCCTGGACCTAGAGGCAATATTTACAACTTATTTTTCTAGGCTCCTTTGTACTAAGCAGTTTGCCCAGAATATCTTTAACATTTTATTGAGTTAGAGCTTTGATCAATTTTATTTTTTGTTTGGAAGACAAAAACCCGACACATAGTAGGTCTCTAAAAATCCAATGACTGAATGCCTAACCTAGCCTCATGGCATACAAAGTCCCTGTTCTCAGGCCCTTAGAGTTTGGAAGAACAGCTTGTAAATAATAAATTCAATAAGATGTTAAACTCTGAGAACTGAAATTTGTTAGTTACTCAACAATTCATAGAATGTGAGGGCAGTAAAGTCTTCTTTTCCAAATTTTTCCCAATGTGGATGATTCACTGCTGTCAGTGAAAAGAGACTTTATTCTCAGATCACTTCACCTAAGATGCTATTTTGAGACTGCCAATTTGTGATATGACTGTCTAAATACCACGCAGTATCATCGCCCCTGTCACTCAGGGTGGCCACTTCAGTCACCTTCCATTTAGTGCCTGTCAGTTTCCCATTCTTACTTTCTATTTCATCTTCTTTTACTTTCTACTTTCACTGCCACTGTTCTTTTTTCTCTCAGCCTTTTAATTGGCCCCACTCGCCAGGCTTCTTACCCTTCCAATACAACACTGCCATGGAAAAATCTGCTGTCAAAGCAGTGCAGGTAATACAGTGGGCGCCGAAGTCAGAACGCTTGGGCTGGATTCCTGGTGCCCTCCCTTCGTAGATCTGCATCCACAGACAAGTCACTTTACCTTGTTGTGCCTCAGTTTCCTCATCTGTAAAATGCAGCTGATAACAGAACCTACCTACTTCAGAGGGTTGGTATGAGAGTTGGCTAAGAAAATATATGTAATGTGATTACAGAAGTGACTTGTACAAAGGAAAAAGTCAATAAATGTGAGCTATTTATCATCACACTGTCCTCTTAAAACCCTTTGATTGTTCCTGAAATGCCTGAAGAATAATCCTCAACCTAGATTACAAAGCCTAAAATTGGTTTAGTCTCGATTTTCCGTTCTAATCATCTTCCCTTCCTTCTAACCAGAACTGAAAACTGACATTGGCAAATCATTTGCAACATGAGTAATTCCATCTTTGCAAGTACCATTTTCCAGAGCTGGTAAGTGCTTTCTCTTTTTCTTAGACTATCAAAATCTTACTGCTTGCCTAAATCATAACACTTCCTTTTATTTTGTGATCATCCTAGTCCACAATGCCTTTTTTAATCTGGAAACTCATAGTGTCAGCATCACTCTTAAAGACTGGTGACAGGCACCACATGCATAAGCTTCATCTCCCACCCAAGACCCTAAAGTACTGGAGATGAGAATTCTTCTACTGCATTATACATTTTTCTTTGCATGATCTAGCCAAGAATACCTTTTGAAAGACTGCTATTTTGAAATGCACAAAACTCTCAGGGTTGACAACCATCTAGGATCCCTGATCAAAGGGCAATTTTTAAGTATTCTATGTTTTTGTTAAGATCCAATTACTTATTGCATCTTAAAAAGGAGTTAGAATTTTGCTTAGCAGTTACACAGATTGGCTGCAGAAAGAGATAAAAGTGCCCTCTGTAACATTAAATATGACATTTTGTAAATTGATCAAGTACTATCAAAGCTTTTGTTCAAACTCTCATGTGTAGACATGGCAATGAACTCCCAGTTTGTCTCTCCTTTGGTACTCCCTCCCTCCTATCCTTGTTCCAACTTTCAGAAAGACCTTTTTAAGCACAAATCGTTTTGTAAGAGATGCCTCTTAGAAACGCCCCACTTGCCCTGAAAATAAAAGTCAAACATCTTCACATAATTAAAAAGACCCTTGGTGATCTGGCCCCTGGCTATCTCCCAGCTTCTTCTGTTTTATCAATACTGAAATACTTGCCGTTTTCTAAATACCTCATTCTGTCTTACCCTCCATGACTTTGTAGATGCTTTTTTATTCTGCCTGGAACATGCGTCTTTGCATCATAATTGTGGCAAACACACTCATCTTTCAGACACGGTTTTTGCTTTATCCTTCCTGTTGAGATTCCAAGATCTTTCCCAGACAGAATTAATTTTCAGTTCTATACAAATATTATAACTTGTACACACTCTGGTTATTGCACTTACTATACTTCCCATTTAAAATTTAAAACTGTATTTAAATGTAATTAAATAAACTGCATTACAGTTGAATACAGTGAGGACTACCACGGAGCTTTATCTAATGTGCTCTCTTCTTCATCTGAACCACTTCATATTCTTCTGAGATATAATACATGGTTTGAAAGATCAAAGTTTCTATATGTAGGCAAATTAAGTTTGGATCCAAGATAATAATAGCTGGCATGCACTTATCACTTACTATGTGTGAAGCACTATCCTAAGTGATTTATATCTATAATTCATTTAATCTTCGCAACAATCCAATAAGACACACACTGATACACATTTGTAGATGAGGACACTGAAGAAAAGACTACTTGGAGCACAGAGTCAGTGAGTGCAGAGTCAGAACTTGAGCGCCAACAACCAGCCTGGTCAGTCAGCTCGCTTAACCCCCATGCTATCCTTTAGCTAACTAACCTCTCTGAAGTTTCCATAAAGTAAAAGAAGGATCATAGCAACACCTCTTTGTTAGAACTAAATGCAATGACAGTCTCCCACCTTTATTTCTCTTCTTGTTGTTCATTTATCTTTTAGAGATGGCATACATTTATTTGACCTCATGCTAATATAGATAGTTTTGTCTTCTCACTATCACGCATTTCAGCCCCCAAAACTATAAGAGGAAAAAGGAGCTATGATTTTCTTTTCTTGCTGTTCCCTACTGAAAACAGGTTCTGCGTCTTGGCTAAAGGAAGTTAGCTCCATTTATATAGCCAGGATGAAAAAGCTGAATTTGTTGTAATCTGTTTCAGTTCAATTGATTTTGTGTTATTGTGATACAAAGGAATTCTCTGGTTGGAAAAATTATCTTTAGGGCTTATTCGTGTGCTGTGGCACACAACAAATACTTCCTTACTGATACAGCCAGAACAAATAAATACATGGCTCCATTAGAACCAAGAATGAAATATAAGTCAAAATAACTTGACAAGTGAATCTACTTCTTAACACAGTAGCACAGAGAATAAATCTTCCCTCTATAATACTAACAGTAAATTTACACAGACCTCACATTATTATTAATTATAAAATGTATCTTGTTCCAATAAACTTCAACAGTCAGGAGGGCAAATAGAATATGATCACCTCAAATTTGAAACAGACAATGGGCTATAATTCCATCATGCAATCTATATCTGTTGGTTAATTCTATGAAAAACAAAATTACATATTTCAGAAACTGTTTGAAATTCTGGTGAGCAAATGTGAACAAAATATGGTGCCATCTCAATTTTTTTAACATCTGTAAGCTGAAAATGTTATGTCTTAATTAACATAATTATTCTAAAGAGAAATGCATTACAAATTCCAATCAGCTGTTTCAGACATTGATTACCTAAATATACATATTTAGCTCCACAAAATGAAGAGTTTTAAATCCGACATTAGCAAGGTTGACTTGATTTCAGAAGCACAGCGTACTGTGATTTGTCTGTGTGAAGCGCACATGTGTGTATATCTGTGTATCCTGTTATGACACAGTTTCACGTGCCATGCATATAAAAGTCCACTGCACATTTAAGTAGCATTTCATTTAGATTCTCAATTTAAGTAGCGTTTCATTTAGATTCTCAGAACACATGCTAGGTTGCTTGGAACTGAAATTATTTGATTACATAAAACCGAAGTTCATTCATGATGAAACCTTTTTACTGCCAGTTACTTGAAATGGAGGGCCTAGTCTCAGGAAATAAATTTAATTTATTTGTGAATTTGAGTTGGGATTTACATAATTTCATTCGTGAGTTTATTTTGAATTTAATCACTTTCAATACCATTAAAAAAGGTGTAAACACACAGAAACACACACAAATGTAATGGAGCAATACAATAACTCATGCTGTTGTTGAAAACTAGAGGGGCTTGTATTACTTTCCAGTAAACAATTTCACTTTTGCAAGACCCTGTGGAATGTTCCCGGTCCCTTCCTGATAGTAAATTGGGGACTTACTGAAGGAACATTGGTCATTTTTTTTGTTTGTTTAGTTGGATGTCTTTTAGACTAGATTGCTTTAGTGCTTCACTTAGTTTTGAGCCCTTTGTAACTCAGATTTGAAGTTTATAGTTTCCATGCTTCTTAGGTTATTCCATAATCTTGTGAGTATTAGGAAGTTGACAGTAATATTAGAAAGTGTACACTATACAAGTCAGCCACTCAAAGATATGCAGCAAACACGTGGGAAAGTTGGGGCTTAAAATATCATCTTCTGATTCACAATTCAACTTTCTTTCCCACATCTTTACTATGTTTGTACTACCTTCTCCTGACATTTTAACCTCCTAAGCTTTCTTTTAGCAACTGCATGAAGGAAATGATTTTGAGGTCTTAAAATGTTTAAATTTCAGGAGCACGTGCAATAAGACAAGAAATTGAATTTTAGAATTAAGGTAATTGTATCAATTTCTTAAAGTCTACAAACATTGATGTATTATGCATTTACTATTTTTCAATATTTCATTCAAAAGGGGATGGAGGAATGGAGTTTATTTCTTGGGATTATCTTCCTCCTGAAACTTAAATATCATTAGAAAATAGAAGGCCAAAATTGCATGATAACATGAAAATAGTGTTTTAAAAATTCAATGTTACAATATTGATTATTTTTTAAATGTAGGAGCTTACAACTTGCACTTGGCCAGCATAGTTGAATAGTACCCTAACCACAGCTTGCCTTGCATTTTCAAGAACATGTACTAGGACTTTCCCTAATATCATAAGTTATCCCAAGTCAAGTTAGTACTGCATTGTTAAATAAGTTGGTAGTAGTAACTAGAACTTAAAATTAGAGTAGAAAAATATAACAAATATAAACCATACAATAAACAAAGCACATAACCTTGGTACATACAACATCCATACAGCCAATCAGTGACACTCTCCATAGCTTCCTGAATAATTTGCATCTCATTGGAGCCATTTCCTTTACCCCCTCAAAATGTTTTGTTTTAAGGGTAAAAGCAACACCTATCCCCATCTAAAGTGTTTTACAACTAACCATGTTACCAATGAAAATGTTTACACCGCGGTAGTATTTCATAATATTAAGCTCAATTTGTTTTACTTTGAAGCCCAGTTGGTTTTGGAAATAAATAACATGTTCTAAGTTGAGTTCAAAAAGTAGGATTTCAAATTTGAAGCAGTAATTTGAGTAACATATATTTTTTTAAACTCTACAAATTAACTGGTAGTATAGGAAACAATGGAAAGTAGACCTAAAACCAGAGGGTCCAACCAAAACCAAGGATGACTTTGGAATCTAAGTATAGAAGTTCTGCTAGGGAAGACCCAGCATTTAACCCTCTTCATCTAAGCGCAGTCCTAGTAGCTGACAAATAAATTTGTCTCATGAATATAATGCTGGTGGAGAACCACAAAGCACCAGGAAATATACAGGCAGACTGCCAGGCAGCACCGTCAGAAGTACTCAAGTGACTGCAACGATTAGTCTTCACTAAATGTCACACTAACCCCTAGAGAGGGACTTGAGCACTAGGGGAAATGACATCTGGATTGTCTTTTGACATATGTCTAATAGAACCAAAGAAACTGAAGTGCCTGAAAGGCCAACTTGATTAATTTGAATGTGAACATTTCTCTGAACCAATGATTCCTTTTATGGTAAGAAAATGAATACACTTCACAATTTTCATTTTAGGTCAGAGGCAGTGCAGCTTGTGTTACAACTGAAAAGAGAAATACTAAAGATAAAAGAAAAAAAGAAGATGGTGCTGAAAACAGACATATTCAGCAGCCATTGTGATTCAACTTACCCTGATGTGCTTTTCATGAGATGGAGAAGGATGGATGGAAAAGAAAAGCACACAAATGTTAATGGATACATTTCAATCCAAAGAAAGTCATGGAATAAAACAAGAGCATCATTTCAGATGTGTGGAAGCTCAGATACGAGAAAGACATGGTGTTTTGTTTTGTTTTGTTTTCACCATGACATACATACTCACTGTGTCCAAAAGCATAATCAGGCTGAAAGCAGTTTTAATAGTTGACCAGTAAGTCTGTCTCTTGAAAATGAGCCATTCTGAAACATGCATGACCACATTTTCCCAGCCTCTAGTAAACCCAGGGAAGAAGTCAGGCACCTTGTTAAAGAATATTCTTTATCTAAGGCCACTCGGGTTATTTCACAAATCGGAGCAGCAGTAACTTACTAAATGGTGCTCAGATTCTCATACAGATTTGTAAGTTTGCTGTTAGAGCTCAAGACAAATACAGCAGACTACTTGAAAGGCAGCAGCTGGAAGAAAGCACTGGTTTGAGGGTCAGAATATCTGGATTCTTGTTCCCATACACGATTTAGTCAAAGTCACTAGCAGGCTCTGATGTTCAATTTCCTCATCTTAATTTGACACAAGAAGAAATGTGTGCATTCCAGTCCCATAATTTTATTATTCTAACAAGTGCTATAACAATAATAATTATTATAAATAATTGTGTGCCAGTAATCAGAAAATATAAAAAATTCTATCACTCTTCTCCCCTTGCCATACTAATTCTTTCTCCTCTATTTGAACTGGCAAAATAAATGTTGAGCTTGTGCCAATTGAGTGTCTTTTAATGGAAACATTTATTTATTTGGACAGATGTTTATAAATGTTGCTCTGAGGGAGAAAATGAACTAGATTGGTTTACCAATGTTAGCAGAAACATCACAAAAAATTGATCTAAATGTAATGTTTGGAGTAGCCCACTTGTTCCCTGGATAGAGGAGAGGCATTGGGAAAACATGGAATTTAAATAATTCAACCAAAAGCCATGAAAATATTATTTTAAGTTTTCTATACAAGCATAGTAGACTAATTCTTAGAAAAATAAAACTCTTACTACAGCTCATAAAATACATTCAATATAACAAACTATGAAGCAGAGATTCCTATCTAAGCAATTAGGCAAGTTAGAGAGTTTCCTTTTTTATTGCACAATTATTGTAAAGAAAAGCTGGACGTGCAACAGAACACCCTGCACGTGCCTCCACTAAGCGCATTCATTCAGAGAAACTGTGCATTTCTTTATGAAATGGCCATGTTGGAGAAATGCATGTCCTTTGACCTTAGCTGCAGAATAGCTGTGCCAAGCTGCTTAAATTTTTCACATAAACAAAAACATAATTGTCCATACAAATTGGCATCACAATGTCCTAAGAAATTTAAGGCGTATTTCTTACATCACACATGCAACAGAAAAAAAAAAAATTAAGACCCAAAAAGATAAATTCTAGGTGGCTAAAATGGTTTTCCTGTCAACGTAACTGTGAACTCTTTGATGTCTAAAAAAAGGGCAATTTCTGAGCTCTTCATGAAAACTGCCAGAAGTAGTTGAGGCCAGTTATTACTATGGACAAAATTATCTTCCTCAGCCTACCAGCTAACTAGGAATTGCTCTTCAATAAAATAAGTTGATTAAAACTGCACACAGTGGAAGATTAATATTAGTCACATATTTATCATTTTCTAAAACAGGAAACTTGTACATATAAAAATACCTTAAATATAAAACCTAAGAGAAATTATGAAAATAAACAGGAAACACAAATACAAAGATACCACTCAAAAAGCATTGCTTAAATTTCTAATATATTTATTCTCAAGGTGTATACATTATCTGACTTCTCATAATTTTTATGAACTTTTGTCTCCTCCATAGTCAATTAATTTAAGAACAATACTGAGCAGCTATCTCACTTAGCCCACTTAGATTATTAAGTATTTCAGCTCACAACTTTCAAAAAAATATGTTCTGCAAAGGACAAAAAGCCATAGTTGTAAATGACACTAAGAGATTTTGTGATAATATATGATAAATCCGTATCAGAGGTAATATATATTTGCAGAATTTTTTTTTGGTCTGGATACAGTGTTTAATTTGTCCTATAAAAACTGATACTCTTTTCCACATGCAGTTATTTACAGTAACATGTAACCTCATTCTTTTTC